CTTCAAAATTCTTGTTCTTGTTCTCTTCGAGTCTCATTTGATTGTTTGTTCTTCAACGGATGACGATTTGACTCTTTGAATGCTTAAGAAGATATATTCATGAAAAACTCAAGAAACAAAACTTGTTAGAAATATAAGTGTATTGTTTGTTATAATCAAAACAAGTGGAGTTATATTGAATCACAGGTCAACACTTCGTGTGCAGCGGATTGAACATCTTATGACCGTCAACTATTGTTATAGCTCTAATACCATATCACGAAATGAAGCTTAAGGAAGAAAATAGTCACTGAAGAGAATTAAAGAAATGAATGCATTTCTCATTCAAAAAATCTGTTTACAATTAGAGCATATATATACAACAGAATGAGTGCTAAACAAACTACCTAACAGAATTGGAAAGTGAAAGAATATGTATATTCTACACAATTCTTCAACCAGCATCTACAGTATGTTCCTTATGCAACTTGCTGCATCTTCCATCTTCTAGAATGCTTCGTTGGTACTGAAGTTGCTGACATGGTTTGTCTATGTGGCAATTTCACTTCCCTCCATTCTTCAACAAATAGGCACCATGACAGGTCCACCTTCACATCCACCATGAAGAATACGAACCCGTTGGAGCGGCTTATTCTCTGACTTGTAATTCTTTCATTCGCACTCGGTCCACCTCTATAGGAACCGACTTATTTTTGGTGTGCGTGTTAATTGATAACATCTGCGTCTCCTTCCCAGACAAAATTGAATGCTTTTTCTTTTTTGAAGTCAATCCAATTTTATCGTAATCCTAAATTTCCTATGCACTAATCCCTTTTTCTAGGTCAAATCATTTACTGTGCTATCTTAAAACTTGATAGCCAGTGTCGCATTAACCGAATCCACAGAGCCTCCGAAAAATTCCTCCAAAAAAAAAGCCACGTATGAATAAAAGAATCTGAATTATTCCATATATACAGGGGAATAGGTGTTTCATCTCTCTCCGTGTACAATTTATATATACTTTCAAGTCTATTGAACAAAACCTGCTTAATATATTCTAAGACCCAACCTTCTGTAGTTTTCAATGCCCAGAAACAATATGGGCAAGAGAACTTTTTGCAGTTATCACATTCCCATTACCAGCTAATTACATTTATATGACATAAATGGTCAATAATAATTTAACGACATTTGAAAATTTAATTTAAAATTATGCAAAAGGTGATGTTCAATCGAAAGCTTTGGTTTCTAGCTATCGTAAAATATGCGCATGGAATCGGTCTAGATCTAGGCCTAAAACAAATATTTAACCTATCATATTAACTATCTATGAACGAAGTTTTCCATTGTGAGTGACAACTAGTTTAAGTATTCCATGAACAATTAATGGGACCGGTCCATGTAGTGGTCGACCAAAAATTAGTAGACTTCATTATTAATAGGTTAGGAGCTTCGATACAAGTTAGGTCTAGAGGGAAGTTACGAGCGTTACATTCATGCATAACTATCATACCAAGGTTTTTTATGACATAAATGGTCAATGAATAATTTAACGATATTTAAAAATTAGTTTAACATTATGCAAAATGCGATGTTCAGTCAGAAACTTTGATTTTATGCCATCGTAAAATATGCACCCGAAATTGGTCTAGATCTCGTATAAAGCCAGGTCCCTATTTGATACCAATTAAGACCAGATTGTTAGTAGATTTTGATTAAATATATGTTTGAAAAATTGTGAATCTCATGAAACATGTGATTAAAATTAATTGTTGATTTTGACTTAAATTAAATTTTAGATTTCACGTAATATCATCTTTCAAAATTGAATGCGAACCTTATAAAAGCTAATATCAAAATAAAGTAGTAGGTTATACAGAAATATTAAACAAATATATAGTCATCATGATCAAAAAATTAAAATAGCTAAATGAATTTGTATTAACCATTCCACTTGAATCGAACCATTAAATCAATGCAAATATAGTTGGCTGAAGTGAAGATAACACTACATGATCGTGGATAATGTAGATGTGTATAAAGATGTAAATTCACTATTGTAAGTTCTTCAAGAACTAAATGCGACCAACGCTTGATATTAAAATTGAAATCTTATTTTTTTTTCGACTTTAATATTTCATAAAATTTGAATATACACTCTTTGTGAGATTTAATTCTATTGGTAGTTTTTCAATTCCCACCAAGAATCTATTTTGTCTTTACATAGAAACTGTGATACGAATTATACCTTTGATAGAAACGGGTTTTCATCTAATTATGGGTTCATTAAGATCAGATCCTTCTTCCATGAGCTTTTTAGTTTCCTCGGCTTGGTTTGAATCCACATCAGTAAAGCTTTCAAATTTTCTTTGCTTTACACCTTTTCCTTAGCTGCAGGTTTAAAGTCATGTTGGCATCCAGATCACTGCTCATTTCATCATCATAGCCTCTTCATACTGCTATGTGGGAGTGGGAATAGACTCTTCATGCAAACTATCTTTAAGTACTCTGCTATGTGGGAATAGATTCTGCTGCTGATGAATTAATTACCCTATTTTGATTGAGCACTTCTCTATCAGTTTAATATTTGTTAATGCATCAAAATTACCTTTCTTGTCGATAAGTAAACATTGAATGAGGTTGACACATGACTGACTTCAGAAGCTATGACCAGGTTATTCGTATACATTCATTTTATTTTTTCCAAGATGTTTGTTTATTTTCTCTTCTGATATTTGAATGTTGGAACCTCTATAGGAGGATAGTTATTGCTTTCCTTCTACTAGACGACCAGTGAAAACCAATTTGAAGTACTCCCAATATTTTGCAATTTATTTGATTTTTTCTTACTAGTACCTCTTGTATCGACTACTTCGAGTTTTTCTTCTTCATCAACGCCGTTCAAATCAATTGGATTACTATTTCATGCAAATCTTTGACCTCAGTCGGTGAAATTATTATTGAATATAAGAGATGTGGATTGTGGTTCAATGCATGTTATAACCATCAAACATAGCCTCAACATAGCTATTGGAATCCATTTGTATAAAGCGAAATTGAAAATTATAATAGAAAATAATAGACGAAGAATTGAGTTGAACTTGAAATTGAAATTGAAATTGAAATTAGAAAATATGAAATAAAAAAATTAATAATTGTGCAACTTTTATTTTATGAGTAATATTGAATTGAATAACAAGGAATTGAATTGAGAATTGAAAATTTTAGATTGTAAGATGTAGATAGATTGTAGAGAATTGATATGAAACAAATGGGTGAAAAGGGTAGGAATTTATAGAGTTTAAGAAAAAAATAATCCAAGTGACTATTAGGGATTAAAAGTTGAAAATGTGAACTAAACCAATTTTTTTTTTCAACATGGGCTCGGTCCACAAGCCGCTCGGCTCACCCAAATTTTTTTGGGACTTGACTTGACTTGACTCGAGCTCAAGCTCCTCTCTAGAAGAGCCCGAGCAACCCATGAATTTAACCTAGACGTGTCAATTGGACGAGCCGCTAGACCCAATTATCACCCCGAGAGTCATGATAAATTTCAAGAAAATATTTCAATGTACGGTAGATAACCATAATATGATAGAATAATTATTCTCTATTTCACTTTTCTCATATGTTTTGATTGAATGTAATAGAGAATTTTGTGCAGTTATTTCATTCCCATAATTAACAAATGACCAACTAATTACATTTGCATAACATAAATGATTAATGAATAATTTAATGATATGTGAAAATTTAATGTAAATCATGTGAAACGTGATGTTCAATGAAAAAAACTTTGGTTTCCGGCCATCGCAAAATATGCACACGGAACCGGCCTAGATCTAGTACAAAGGTAGACCTAAAACAAAAATTTAATAACAATTGTTTACCAAACTTCTATGAAAAGTTTTCCTCTGGTGATTAACAATTGTTAATGAATTCCAATTTCCATGATCAATTAATGGGACTGGTCCATGTAGGCCAAGTGGTCGACCAAAAATTAGTAATAAATACATTAATCATATGTAAAAACAAAATAAATATGTATTTCACTAATCTGATGTAACTCACGTTGTTTACATGGGCTGCTCTAGGACAAATTATGCAAGAATTTCTAGTTTCTCTCCGATATATAAACGCATTTCACTTCATTACAGATTAGGCAAGAAACCCTCGTTTGTAATCATTACAGATTAGGCAACACATTTCACTATCATTACAATCACATAGGTTTTCATCAATTCATCACAAGAAACTGAAAAAAACAGTGCAGTTTACAGAAGCAATGGAGAAATACCCAGTTTCTTTTTACATTGCATGCATTATACTAAACCTACTGCTTGCTGTAATAATCATCTTCAAATGGGCAGTCTGCAGGAAAAGGAGGTCACTCCCTCCTGGGCCGATTGGCTTGCCCATTTTTGGGTGCCTAATCCAAATGATTATTAACAAGCCAACCTTCCAATGGATTCACAAAGTAATGGATGATATGCACACTGAAATTGCGTGTATCATTCTTGGTCGGGTTCATGTCATTTCTGTTACTTCTCCTGAACTTGCACGAGAGTTCTTGAAGAAACAGGATATTATTTTTTCATCAAGACCTTATTGCATGTCTTCAAGATTAAGTACCAATGGGTACTTAACTGCAATATTTTCACCTATGGGTGATCAATGGAAGAAAATGAGGGGAGTTCTTGCTTTACACGTGCTTTCACCTGCAAAGCACCGTTGGCTTCACGATAAAAGAATGGAAGAAGCTGATAATCTTGTTCGTTATGTCTATAACCAGTGCAAGAATTCTTCGGAAAGTGGTAGTTTGGTAAATGTTAGAGTCGCAGCACGACAATACTGTGGCAACGTTATCAGGAAGTTGATATTCGGCAAAAGGTACTTTGGAAATGGTATGGAAGATGGAGGACCAGGTATTGAAGAGGAAGAACATGTTGCTGCACTCTTTAAAATTCTTTCCTCTCTCTTTGCGTTCAGCATTGCAGATTATGTTCCGTGGTTGGAGCTTTTTGATTTCGATGGTCATAAAGGGATCCTAAAGAAGGCTATTGGGAGTGTATCTAAATTCCATGACCCCGAAATACATGATAGGATTCAGACCTGGAAAAAGGGGATGAGAGCAAATGAAGAGGATATTCTTGATGTTTTGGTAAACCTCAAGGACCCAAAAGGTGCCCCGCTTTTGACGATTGAAGAGATCAAAGGACAAATTATTGTAAGAATGCCTTCAACCTACTCAAATCTTTAGCTCTCACATTTTCATGTAGTCTAGAACCCTAAAATGAATCACATTCGTATTTATAGGAAAGTAATCGATCACGTCACTATGATATTAATGAAAAGACGAGTTGTTATGTTACCAATGTTCAATAAAAAAAATTTATTGTAATTTTATTAATTACTTTCATTGACTACTTGTTAAAAATCTTATTTCTCCTCTATATAATTGATATTTGCAGGAAATGATGATAGCCACAGTGGATAATCCATCAAATGCTATTGAGTGGGCTCTTGCAGAGATGATAAATCAACCTGAGATTTTGAAAAGGGCTTCTGCAGAATTGGACTTAGTGGTTGGAAGGAACAGACTAGTTCAAGAATCAGATTTAAATAAATTGATCTATGTGAAGGCGTGTGCAAAAGAGGCATTTAGACTCCATCCAATAGCACCTTTCAACGTTCCACATGTATCTATGGAAGACACGACTGTAGCTGGATACTCTATTCCAAAAGGTAGTCACGTATTATTGAGTCGTACAGGTCTTGGTCGAAATCCGAGAATATGGGAAGAGCCTTTGAAGTATAAGCCTGATCGTCACCTCAAAGATGATGCCTCTGAAGTTGTTCTTGTTGATTCTGAATTGAACATGTTATCGTTTAGCACTGGAAAGCGAGGATGTGCAGGTGTTGTGCTTGGTTCTACCATGACCACAATGTTATTTGCTAGACTTCTTCATGGCTTCACTTGGAATGCCCCACCTGATGAGCCAATTATTGACTTAACTGAGTCTAAGTATGATACCTTGCGTGCCAAGCCATTGTTTGCAGTAGCAAAACCCCGGTTGTCTTCAAACGTTTATCAGCAACTTCAAAATTAAAATTCCATGCAAGTCTGTTAGCATTGTTGGAAATCTAGACAATGCACTTAATTCAGTCAAAACCAAATTATAGTTTTATGCGTTTTGAGTCAAATTTAAATAAAGCTAAAGTTTAATATGTATTGTTTGAATAAGTCCTATTGAGGAGTCAAATTCTAGATTAGTGAGTTGTCAAATCAATGATCTGTTATGAACATATTTGGCAAGGTAACATGAATTGAAATAAATATTTTCCTTCGTTTAGAGCTTCACATTGGTAACTAATACAAAATTGTAATCTTGTTTCGAGTTATGACATAACAACTAGTAAATATTGCAACCTCAAGCTGTTGGTACCAACTTAATTTTCCTTCATGTACAAATGTGAATCTTTATAGATGGAAGTCAAAACATGATAGAACGAATTTTGTGAGCAACCAACCATTGCAACTTATCAAATTTGAGTTTGGGCTGTGTTATAAATTAACTCACATGATATAGAGAAAAATATACAAAGAAAATTGTTAAAAAAAAAAAAGCTGCCGAACGTAAAGAAGGAAGAATGAAAGAATAGGATAGGAAAATGAGTGCTTCCATTGTGTAGAAAGAGAATAGCAAATGAAAGTGACAACAAAGATGTCGGGACAAATAAAGAAAATTGAGAAGTGAGAAGCAAAAGAAAACGATTGTTATGTTAATTATGCTCAGAAGCTTTGATACCACTTGTTGTGAAACAACCAAAATATCTCTTGTTAAAATAAATATTAATATGCTCGGATCGCTATTAACAATGTTGAAAATACAAGAATTATGTATTGTTTGAATACCACTTGATGAAACCAACCATCGGAATGAATTATTGAAATTATATGGCAAATAATGAAGTATTAAATCAATCAAAAGAGACTCAAAAATAATGGAAAAGAGAGAAAATTATAATGGATCTTATAATTTTAGTAATCTATTTTCTCACGCTATAAAATTATATAGAAGAACTTAATATTTATACGAAACATGTAGGGGATGTCCAAACCCTCTTAATAGAGTTGTTGATGAAGTAGAATACCAAAAAATCGAGTTCAAAACAAATTCAAATTTCCAAAGAGATTCTAAATAGAACTTCAACTTGACATAGGACTCTAATAGTATTTCAAATTGAATTTTTCTTGACGTACATTTCAATTAGAATTCTTCAATTACTTTAACAAGGAAATTCGGGGTCACACTCAAATTCTAACAACGATCATGTGTGAAACGTTCTTTGACTGTTCTAATTTATGTAGGGATAAGTTGATAGCTAGAAAACTCTTTTATTATGAGGTTCATTGAATTAATTGAATGCTAAATCATTTCTTTAACAATGCATGATAATTTTTTTAATCAAAACTAATTATTGAATTGGCACTTAAAAATTACTACTTTTATCCCAATTTAATTTTATTAATTTCGAGTTAAACCTACAACCACAATTAAGCATATTTGAATTATTGGGTGAAATGGAGACAAATTATTGTCTATCAGTGAGATAGAGATGGTTTAGAAAGTCGTGATACACGTTGAATTGAAGGAACATGAACCAGAGAGACAAACCAGCCATTTAAGTTCCAAAATCGTTAGTTTCTGTTTGAGGAATTTGAGGATGTCCTTTCTGATTAATGGAGATCCATACTTCTGGAATTTTGATGCAGAAACATGCAGGCAGGAAGTTGGAATTCGCATTGTGCAGTATGAGAATGATAGCGGGTTGCTAACCGTAAATTTCCCCCCAAAATGGTGCCTAAAATTCCCTTTATTTCAATTAATCCGTAGGACCTTTTCTTATTCCAAAAGAATATTGGAAAACAAGAAAAAATAAATAATATAAACCACAAATTAAACGAACCGTCAAAACTTTTCACTATATGAAAAATTGTTAAAATCATATAGAATTTTTCACCCACCAACCCAATCCCAAAGTAAACAAAAGAAAACAAAAAATCAGCAGCCAAATCTCCTTCTTTTCTTCTCTGCTGTCCACGTGTCTCTACGTGTATATATATATTAATTCTAGCAAAGCACCAATCCTTCTTTTTGGCCAGCCGCAATCTGCCTACTTTTCTTGCTTCAATGCGTGAATCTATATATATATCAACCACTAGAGCCACAATGTTTGAAGAATTGAATATATATATATATATATATATATATACAATACTCCAGCAACTGTCCAGCCGTTCCAACTCCCAAGGCAGCCGCCACGTTTTTTTTTCTTTTTCACACAGGCCACAACCCTAAAATATGGAATAAATAAATGTGGAAATTACACCAAACCATACTT